AGATGATTGTTGTAATTTCACAGTTGTATTGAAACTTTTATAGATTGTATAGAAACGAATATCCACCTTTTTTTGAGAACATGTGAGACTAAATCTGTTCTCAGATATTAATGATAACAAGCATCCACTTTCTTCTGAACAATACTCTTCTTCGGTGTTCGTTTACACTGGTTTTGGAAACCACGCCACCACTCTTGCCACTTGAGCTTAGATCATGTGCCCGAGATCTAAGCTCAAATCTAATTGGATGGCCTGTTTTGTCGCAGAGCGACTGGGTGAAAAAATTGACACACAGGGCGGAAAAAATCCTCACTTTTGCATGCCATGAATGATCTCGCCTGGCGTGAATGTCCCCATAGAGATCTATTGTTTCGATTCAAAAGAGTCATTGCACCGAATGTTCACATTCAGTGTGAAAAGGCCTTAATAATGGGGGTTCCCTTCTACATCATACTCCAGAATTCCCCAAGTAAAAAAATACTTACTGTGCCTTAATGGACTAATATAGAGATATAAAAAGACCAAACTGGTCTATCTCTGGTGGTGCTCAGAGATAAGTAGCACTTCTGCTGTTGAAACAAGAATGCATACAGATAAATATCACTGACACTATGTGAGAAAATGGATGTGTGTCATCAGAGCATGAGAACAATTCAATTTAATTCAATTCGAGTTTATTTGTATAGCGCTTTTGACTATACAAATCGTTGCAAAGAAACTTTACAGCAAATTAGGTTTCTACAATATTTAGTAGTAGCTTATCAGTGGTGACTGTCAGTTAATGTACATATGGCAGAAATGTACGGAAAAATCAATTAAAGACGTAATCAAACAGACGATGAACACTATTAACAGCAATTATTATATGATGCAATCAAACTTATAGCAAAATTTGGTAGTTCTGTATGTTGTTTCATGGTTGGCATCATCTGAGGTCCTCTGAGGGGTTGGCATCATCTCTTCTCAGGTGTTCTGGATCCAGACTGAAGCTTGTGTAAATCCTAGTTACCACGGAATGTCAATCACAGCGAAACAAATAGAGACATAATTAGCGTAGCTGCTGTTTCAACCAAGCAAAATTGATTTGTTTAACCAAGCTAAAGGATAATAATGCGCATTTGATCAGATATAACTGCAGTACTAGATTATGAGATGCATTATTTGAATGCTTGGCCAAAGAGATCTGTCTTTAATCTAGATTTAAACAGAGAGAGTGTGTCTGAACCCCGAACGATATCAGGAAGGCTATTCCAGAGTTTGGGAGCCAAATGCGAAAAAGCTCTACCTCCTTTAGTGGACTCTGCTATCCTAGGTACTACCAAAAGTCCAGAGTTTTGCGACCTTAGGGAGCGTGATGGATTGTAGCGTGGTAGAAGACTAGTTAGGTACGCAGGAGCTAACCCATTAAGGGCCTTATAGGCAAGTAATAATATTTTGTAACTGATACGGAACTTAATAGGTAGCCAGTGCAGAGACTGTAAAATTGGGGTAATATGATCATATTTTCATGACCTGGTAAGGACTCTAGCCGCTGCATTTTGGACTACCTGTAGCTTGTTTATTGAGGATGCAGGACAACCACCTAGCAGTGCATTACAATAGTCCAGTCTAGCGGTCATGAATGCATGAAACAGTGTCAATTGTGTGAGTCCAGTGCTGATCTTCGACTTCTGGGGGCCCTAAAACATTTTTTGTGCATAGAAAAAAATAATAAAATAAATAAAAATACATACATACATACATACACTTAGCACATATTGTGTAACGTGCAGCACATATTGTATAAGGCAGGCCTAAGGATAAAATACATATTACTAATAACTGTTATCTTAAAAATTATATTGTATTGTTAATATTCTGTTTATACTATGTTGTATGATATTGTTAATATTACTGTTATACATAATGACAACTCTGTCTTTATTTAACAGTGATAGTCTCTCTCTCTCTCTCTCTCCCTCTCTCTCTCTCTCTCACACACACACACACACACACACACACATATTTGTTTGTGTGAATTGTGAGGACTTTCCATAGACTTCTATTACTTTTATACTGACTAAATGATGTTTTCTGTCCCCTAACCAAACCAAACCCTAACCTTAAACCTACCCCTTACAGAAAACCTGTTTTCATTGCTACTGTCACGGTTCGCAGGTTCATTTACTCGTTCTATTTCTCTCTCCGTGTGTGTGTTTGTGTGTTCCCTTTGCTGATGAGCAGATCAGGTTCAGCTGTGGCTCATCAGCTTCCCTATATAATCAGTTGCTTCCTGCCTCTTGTTGTCAGATCGTTGTGGTAGAGGTGTGGAGTCTAGCCCTGAAGGAGCTCTCGTGCCGGTCAGTCTCTGTTTCATGCTCTGGACTGTAGCTGTTGTTCCGACTGGATTCCGGTGGGGGATTTATGGAACTTTGTATCAGCACGTCCAGGATTATCTTCAGTGGCACCCGTGATACCATTCCTTGTGTTCGGTTTCCTGCCAGTTTTGTTAATAAACTGTTTTACGTGCACTCGCGCTTGAATCCTCTGTTTATTACCGTAACAGAACGATCTGACCATCTATGGATTCAGCGAGTGCATCCGAGCTCCAGAACTTCCTGGCGAGTAATGCCACTCATATGGATCGCCAAGAGGAACAATTAAGAGTCACAGGACAAGCTATCCAAACGTTGGTAGCACAGGTGACCGACCTGTCCACCCAATTACAGCACCTGAGAACCGAGGCCGTAAATCCTCCCATTGCATCACCACTGGTCTCCCCTGCACCGGCCTCCAGTAGCAGCTCAAGCGAGCCCCGTCTACCTCCACCTGCCCCATATGCTGGTGAGCCTCAGCTGTGATGAGCTTTTTTTAACTAAATGCTCCCTCTTTTTCTCTCTCCAGCCGTCAACATATGCTTCAGAACAGTCCAAGATGACCCATGCATCGTTTCATTTCAAGCACTCTCTGAGGAGATGAGACAAGTGTTCAACCGGGCTGTGGCGGGTCGAGAGGCGGCTCGAGTGCTAGCGGATCATTGTCAGGAGCATCGCTCTGTCGCTGATTACTCCATCGAGTTCCGCACCCTGGCTGCAGAGTGTAAGTGGAACCAGGAGGCTCAATGGGACATGTTTTTGCACGGGCTGCCTGACCGCATCCAAGGAGAGATTTTTTTCGCTGGAACTTCCCCCTGATCTGAATGGATTGATCATATTCGCCATTCGGGTTGATGCCCGACTGCAACGCAGAGACCAACGAGTTTTGCAGACTTTAGTCCCTGAAACATCAGAGTTTTCAGCCACCGGGATTAACGCGATCGGACCAGTCTTCGAATCGGAGCCTATGCAGGTGGGCAGGGCTCGACTGTCTCCGGAGGAGAGGAACCATCGGAGGGAGAGGGGACTATGTTTATACTGCAGTGCTGCGGACCACCTCGCAGCCAGGTGCCTGTTAAAACGCCAAGCCCGGCCATAGAACCGAGGTTACGGTCGGGTGCATGGTCGGTAGAAAAATCCACTGCTTCAACTTTCCTTCCGGTTCGATTACTATGGGTGGATTGGTGGATTCAGGAGCCGAAGGTAATCTTCTGAACATTAATTTGGCTTTACACTTACAACTGCCTATTTTTCCCTTAAAGGATGAGGTCCTGGTTAACACTCTTAATGGACAAGGACTGCCTGCCTTTACACACGTCAATGGTCCGGGTTACTCTCATCCCTTCAGGGAATCACTCTGAGAAGATCCGATTTCTGCTCACTAACTCCCCACTCACTCCGATCGTCCTGGGTCACCCCTGGCTGGTTCTCCACAACCCTCGTGTGGTCTGGGGGCGCAACTCCATCGCTGCATTATTGTCACTCCTCTTGTCTCATGTCTGCTTGTTCATCTGTATCTTGTTCTGTGTTTCAGGGGGAGCCGGTGGACCTGTCTAACGTGCCCACGGAGTACTCCGACCTGAGGGAAGTGTTCAGTAAGTCCCGGGCTGCTTCTCTTCCTCGGCATCGTCCCTATGACTGTGCCATAGATTTATTACCAGGTACGTCTCCGCCGAAGGGCAAGTTATACTCACTTTCAGCTCCTGAAAGGGAGGCCATGGAGAAATATATTTCTGATTCTCTAGCAGTTGGGATCATCCACCCCTCTTCTCCTGCGGGGGCGGGGTTCTTTTTTGTGGGGAAGAAGGATGGCACCTTGCATTGACTATTGGGGGCTGAATAGCATCACGGTAAAGAATATGTATACTTTGCCGCTGATGTCTTCAGCCTTTGAGTGGTTGCAGGAGGCACTTTGAATATCTTGCCATGCCTTTCGGCCTTTCGAACTCGCCTGCGGTTTTCCAGGCATTCGTTAATGATGTGCTGATAGATATGGTCGACCAGTTCATATATGTCTACCTGGATGACATATTGATTTTTTTACTCTTCTCTCCAGGAACATGTTCAGCACATCAGGCGAGTGCTTCAGAGGCTGCTAGAGAATGGGCTTTTTGTCAAGGCAGAGAAGTGCGTCTTCCATGCACAGTCGGTTCCGTTTTTGGGATACATCGTCTCGTCCGAGGGCGTGCGCATGGACCCGACAAGATCAAGGCTGTGGTGGATTGGCCAACTCCAGATTCCCGCAAGGCCCTGCAGAGGTTCCTGGGGTTCGCCAATTTTTACCGGTGTTTCATTCACAATTTCAGCCAACTAGCCGCTCCTCTGACCGCCTTGACCTCCATCAAAACGACGTTCAGGTGGTGTAATGCAGCTGAGGTTGCATTTTCCAACCTTAAGAGCCACTTCGTTTCGGCTCCCATCCTCATAGCCCCTGATCCTTCACATCAGTTTGTGGTGGAGGTCGATGCTTTGGAGGTGGGGGTAGGTGCGGTTCTTTCCCAGCTCGTGCCCGCGAATGATAAGATGCACCCCTGCGCATTTTTTTCACATCGTTTGTCTCCCGCAGAACGCAACTATGACATTGGTAACTGAGAGTTGCTGGCGGTTAAGTTGGCGTTGGAGGAGTGGCGTCACTGGCTAGAGGGTTCGGGGGTTCCCTTTATCTTCTGGACCGATCGCAAGAAACTTGAGTACATCAGGTCTGCCAAACGTCTCAACTCCAGGCAGGCTTGGTGGGCACTTTTTTTCGGTCTCTTAGATTTTTCGATCTCTTATCGTCCGGGTTCCAAAAACATCAAACCCAACGCTTTGTCTCGTGTTTTTGATCACTCCGAGCGCCCACTCTCTCCCGAGTGCATAATTCCTGAGAGACTAGTGGTCTCTACACTCACTTGGGAGATCGAGTCGAGAGTTCACACCGCTTTATGGTCCGGATGTCCACCAATTCAATTATTTGTGCCGGAGTGTTTTTTATGGTCTGACGTTATACAGTGGGGTCATTGTTCCAGCATGGCTTGCCATCCAGGGGTTAATCATACTACGTTTCTAGTTACAACAATTCTGGTGGCCATGTATGGCTCGGGACATTCTGGGTTTTGTTTTGGCCTGCTCTGTCTGTGCTCGTGGTAAGATTTCCAATCGACCCCTAGAGGGGCTTCTTCAGCCGCTGTCGGTGCCTTCGAGACCCTGGTCCCACATCGCGCTAGATTTCGTCACCGGCCTACCGCCCTCTCAGGGCAACACGGTAGTTTTGACCGTGGTGGACCGGTTCTCGAAGGCGGCCCATTTTATTCCCTTGCCCAAGATACCTATTGCCAAGGAGACGGCGGTTGCTGTCGTGAACCACGTCTTTCGCATTCATGGCATCCCGACGGATGTGGTTTCCGACAGGGGAATCCAATTCATCTCAATTTTGGAGAGAATTTTGTAAATTACTGGGAGCGACTGTCAGTTTGTCCTCTGGTTTCCACCCTCAGAGTAACGGTCAGACAGAGCGGGCCAACCAGGACTTAGAGCGAATGTTACAATGTTTGGTATCTCAGAACCCTTCCTCTTGGAGCCAACAACTCTCATGGGTTGAGTAGGCTCATAACTCGTTGCCAGTGTCATCCACGGTCCTCTCGCCGTTTCAGTGTAGTTTAGGGTACCAACCACCTATTTTTCCGAGTCTGGAACCCGAAATCGCAGTCCCCTCCACCCACGCCTTCATCCAGAGGTGTCATCGCACCTGGAAGAGAGCCCTTACACACTCTCCTTCGGGTGAGAGCGCGCACCAAAGCCCAAGCCGATCGCCACCGGTATATCATCGGTCAAAAAGTGTGGCTTTCATCCAAGAATATTCCCCTTTGCTCCGTTTCTAATAAATTAACTCCTAAATTAATCGGCCCATTCACAGTCACCAAGATCCTTAGCCCAGTGGCTGTCCGCCTTAAACTTCCTCCTGCATTCAGGACAGTCCATCCCGTTTTTCGTGTATCCAAATTAAAACCCGTTTTTCATTCTGCCATTAATCGGCCTGCTCCGGTATTCTGGACTCGAGACGAAGGGGATGCGGGTTCCAGTACCTGGTGGATTGGGAAGGTTATGGTCCGGAGGAGAGAAGTTGGGTCCCGGCTAGGGACATACTGGATCACTCTCTCATTGATGATTACAATCTATGGATTAATCTTCCTGGGAGCGCCAGGAGGCGCTCCTAAGGGAAGGGTACTGTCACGGATCGCAGGGTCATTTACTCGTTTTCTCTCTCTCTCTCTCTCTCTCTCTCTCTCTCTCTCTCTCCCTCCGTTTGTGTGTTCCCTTTGCTGATGAGCAGATCAGGTTCAGCTGTGGCTCATCAGCTTCCCTATATAATCAGTTGTTTCCTACCTCTTGTTGTCAGATCGTTGTGGTAGAGGTGTGGAGTCTAGCCCTGGAGGAGCTCTCGTGCCGGTCAGTCTCTGTTTCAAGCTCTGGACTGTAGCTGTTGTTCCGACTGGATTCCGATGGGGGATTTATGGAACTTTGTATCAGCACGTCCAGGATTATCTTCAGTGGCACCCGTGATACCATTCCTTGTGTTCTGTTTCCTGCCAGTTCTGTTAATAAACTGTTTTACATGCACTCGCGCTTGAATCCTCTGTTTATTACCGTAACGGATACACTTTCAGATGAACATCATTTACTATTTTTAATCTCTTTTTTTTCCTCGTAGGGACCGCAGGCTGGTCCCCACAATGTCAAAAAAATGTAGGTTTTACTATCCTTGTGGGGACATTTGATCCCCACAATGTAGCATAAACAAGTGTACTGTATATACACACACACACACACTGGGTTTCCATGTCTTATGGCAGGGTTCCTCAATTAGTTTTCGCAGAGGGCCAAATTTTGCCAACAACACCAAGCCAAGGGCCACTGACCTATATATATTTTTATTATTATTACAATTATTATATTATTGTTGCTTTTGTTAAAATAATCACAAGATGGTCACAAGATGAATATTCAGATTTTTTCCCCCAGTAGTCTGTTTTATTCAAACAATTATGAACATTTTTGCATTTAGATACAGAAGAACTTTGCCTGTTGAATATTAAAAACAAATGAACAAACAAAAAATCTGGATCTCCATGTCTGCCATGCAAATCAACTGTTCCTGCTCATTCCCAGACTGGATCTCTTCTCTCCACTTTCCCTAATTGCAGATTCAATTATTAGATTTGTCAGTATTAATATTTTTATGCTTAGATTTTTCGGGGGGATCAAACCGTAACACCGTGTGTCCCAACCAGACACGACGCGATAAAAAGTTAATTTTTTTCCATGTAGTTTTTGTCCTAACCACCTGCGACAGCAACACGTGACAAGTGACATGGGATTCTATTTTAGGAACGGTTTTTATTTTCTGCGACGTCGCGGCAGAAACAACATACACAATATGACAGTGATAATCTCAGGTAATGATTATGTGCTTTATTCAATGTTAAAAGTGTCTAATGTGAGTTTGAATATTATTTTTATCTATCTTTATAGCCATAGTGAAAGCAACAATAGATATTTTACCTCAAATCTTGAAAGTAAATTAAAGCAAACTTGTACATTAAAACTGTGAACTCACTGCGAACCAACACGTGTATTCCATAACAAAGATATCAGTCACTCACTGACTCAAAACTGTTCAGTCCATTCACATTTTAATCATCTATTTCCCGTGTCCACTTTTCTTTTCTACACACTCGCCATGTTTTTGCTGTCACATCATATCTTCACTGGACGCGACAAAGCATTGCAAATCATTTGAATGTTGTGTCAGTACGTTATAAATAGAACCAGTCAGCAGTTTACTGTCGGGGATTTGTCGTCTCGCGCCGCATCCAAGACAGCATCACTGATTATAACGAGTTCTAGGCTATTGTATTTTATTGCGCCGTGCCGCGCCGGTGCGTCCGGTGTAGACACGATGTAAGTTAAAGTAGCTTTCTGATGCTGCGTTTGCATTTTCATGCCACATTATTGGAAATTAGTGCGGACCAAACTTTTTTCTCTCACGGGCCGCCTATTGAGGAACCCTGTCTTATGGGGGACGTTCCATAGATGTAATGGTTTATATACTGTACAAACTGTACAGTGGTTTATATACTGTACCCTAACCCTACTCCTCACACAAAATTTTCTGCTATTCAGTTAAAAAAAAAAAAAACAGCATTCTGTATGCTTTATAAATTGTTTTCTTCATAAGGAACAAAAAATGTCCCCACAAGGTCAAAATTTACTGGAACACAATAGTGATAGTAAAATGTATATGGTTAATTATCTGTAATGCTTGCCATGTTTGGTAGAGGTGGAGGGTTACAAAATAGAAAAAAAAATGACATCATTATTTACAGAGAGGCCAGTGGCACCGCCTGTGCTATATAAAAAAAAAAGTACCACATAAAATATGATAAATCAGTGAGCTTGTTTGAAGAGTGACATAAATAAAGAGGGAAGGATGTGGGTAATTCTGTATGTTTGTTTGTTCCTGTCTTGTAACTATATATATGTAGCTTTGATGGCCACTTCAGGTACTTGTAAGCTACAGGGACACTTCACATTGAATGGGATGTACCAGGATGGAGACCTTCTAATTGGTGGTCTGTTTGAGATTCAGAGGTACCTCAAAGTATTCCCTGAGCTAAGTTTCAGAACAGAGCCAAAACTACCACGCTGTGAGCTGTGAGTTTGTGATCTGTGAGACCACACCAACTGAAGAACGCTTAATAAACAAGATAATAAATGGGGAAATTTTGTATATACACTGTAACTTGTCAATGACAATTTAGTCTAAACAACTGATATTATGTTACATGATGGATTACAGGAATTAAATCATTCACTGCATATGTTAAATGTATAATGTATTTTATTTATAAAATGTATATTTGAACAGAATACAAAAATATATTGTATTAAATTTAAATGTTATGTAATCTTTATGTAATATTTTTATTATTTCTACTGTTACAGTTAGTATTACTGTAGTTAATGATCTAATTTTCCTTTGTATTGTCTTCTCCAGCTTCTATATGACAAGCTTCCAGCAGGCACTAACAATGGTTTTTGCTATCAATGAGATTAATAACAATCCCAACCTGCTGCCTAACATTACGCTTGGTTACCAAATCTACGACAACTGTTTAAGGCTTGGAGTGGCATTCCGTGGTGCTACAGCTCTGGTTAGTGGGACAGAGGAGACCGTCTCTGACCTCAACTGCAAAGACCCACCACCAGTGATTGGAATCATAGGTGATCCAGGTTCTACCCATTCCATTGCAATTTCCAGTGTCCTGGGGCTGTTTCGACTCCCTATGGTATGAGATAGACATTTTAAAACCTTTTTTTTCTGTAAAAAAATTCCATGTTACCCCCTTTTTTTGTCAATCGCATTATTTTTTTTGTTTCCATCACAATGAATTTGGTTATCAATTAAGCCATTCTCATATTTTCAATTGTAATAGCAGACCACTGTATGCAAATATCAATAACTTGCTTCACACACACTTTTTATTTGTTCATCTTCCTCTCACCTTATTCTCTCTGTCTCTGCTCTCTTCTAATTAGATTAGCTACTACGCCACCTGCTCTTGTTTGAGTGACAGAAAAAAGTACCCCTCTTTCTTCAGAACAATCCCCAGTGATGCCTTCCAAGTTCGGGCTATGGTTCAGATCTTGAAGCATTTTGGATGGACCTGGGTTGGTCTCATCTACAGTGATAATGACTATGGCATCTATGCTGCTCAGTCATTCCATCAGGAAATGCATCTAATTGGATATTGTGTTGCTTTTTCTGAAATCCTGCCCAATGATAACAACCCCATAGATATTCAACGCATAATGGCAGTTATTCAGTCCTCTACAGCTAGAGTGGTGGTTGTTTTTTCTGCTTCATCCTTACTGATACCTTTGATGAATGAGGTGGTGTTGCAGAACATAACAGGCAGGCAGTGGATTGCAAGTGAAGCTTGGGCCACTTCACCTGTATTTCGCACACCGCGTTTCCAGCCATTCCTGGTGGGCACAATGGGCATTGCTATCAGGCGTGGAGAGATCGAGGGGCTTCATGACTTTCTGTTATGTATTCGTCCCAACAATGGTCAAAGAAATGATGTGGTGAGAATCTTCTGGGAGAACATCTTTGGGTGCAGTTTTGAAACTAAGGGTAAAGGGACTGATGGAGAGCAAGTAAAAAAGGTGTGTACAGGACAGGAGGATCTGAGCACAACAAACACACCATACACTGATGTTTCAGGATTGAGGGCATCGTATAATGTGTATAAGGCAATTTATGCCCTGGCACATGCAGTTCATGACCTGATGCAGTGTGAGGGGGAGAGAGGACCATTCAGTGGAAACAGATGTGCCGACATAACCAACCTGAAACCGTGGCAGGTAAGACCCATATGTTTAGTGTATTCTCTTTAGGCATATAGAAGAGCTGAATGTGGAAAAGCAAAATATTTGCTATACATTAATTCAAATTTCAAATAAAAATATAAAACCTGTCCTGTCTACAAACTGTATAGCTGGTTCACTACCTACAGAAAGTGAACTTCACCACAGGCTTTGGGGATCATGTGTCATTTGATAAGAATGGAGATGCTCTGGCCATCTATGATGTGTTGAACTGGCAGCCGAGCGCTGATGGATCAATTAAGCTCCACAAGGTCGGTGTAGTAAATGAAAGTTCGGCAACCGGGATGGTTCTCACACTCGACGAGGATGCATTTTACTGGAATTTTGAAACAACAAAAGTAATTACTTTTGAATGTTAAAATGCCATCCTTTTTGCAGGTATAAAGACTAAATAGTAGTTGAAGCTATGATAAGACAATTGTAAATAAATTAATGGACAATCCAAGCTAGTCATTATGTAAAAGACAAACACATAACTGACAGCAGTTGATGTCTCTTTTAGCCCCCACAGTCAGTATGCAGTGAGAGTTGCCCCCCAGGAACCAGACGAGCCACAAGAAAGGGCCTTCCTCTCTGCTGTTTTGACTGCTTGCCATGTGGAGATGGAGAGATTTCTAATACAACAGGTGAGGAGATTATTGTTTGCAAAATTTGAATCAAATTTGAAAGTCCTCTTCAAAATCTCACCTTCTGTCTTTTGCTTACTCAAAGATGCTATTGAATGCACAACATGTCCAGATGAGTTCTGGTCCAATCCAGATAAGGATCAGTGTGTCCCCAAAGAAATAGAGTTTCTATCCTATGAGGATCCTCTGGGCATCTCTCTCACCACTGCTTCCCTGCTTGGCACCTTCCTCTGTGCTCTTGTGATGATCATATTTGCTCTTCACCGTAACACTCCCATAGTACGTGCCAACAATTCAGAACTTAGCTTTCTGCTGCTGTTGTCACTCAAACTGTGTTTCCTGTGTGTGCTACTGTTCATTGGCCAGCCACAGTTGTGGACATGTCAGTTAAGACATGCTGTGTTTGGTATAAGCTTTGTCCTGTGCATCTCCAGCATCCTGGTCAAGACTATGGTGGTAATAGCCGTATTCAAGTCATCTCGACCAGAGGGCAAAGGAGCAATGAAATGGTTTGGAGCAGCTCAACAAAGATGCACAGTTCTGGTCCTAACAGCCCTCCAGGTTGTGATATGTGCAGTCTGGCTATCAACTGCCTCTCCAACACCCCATAAAAACAACCAGTATACTCGCTCTAAAATAGTATATGAATGTGCCGTTGGCTCAGTGGCTGGTTTTTCTATGCTGCTGGGATACATTGGACTGTTGGCAGCAGTAAGCTTCCTGTTAGCCTTCCTTTCAAGGAATCTTCCAGATAATTTTAATGAGGCTAAGTTCATCACTTTTAGCATGTTAATCTTCTGTGCTGTGTGGATTGCATTTGTTCCAGCATATGTGAGTTCACCAGGGAAATATGCAGTTGCTGTGGAGATATTTGCCATCCTGGCTTCAAGTTTTGGATTACTGGTGGCCATATTTGCCCCGAAGTGCTACATCATCCTTTTACAGCCAGAGAAAAACACTAAAAAAGCCATAATGAGAAGAGAAGCACAAAATAAATAGTTTTACATTATTGTGGTCAACCATCTACAGACACATTGGTGACATTTTGATTAGTATTTTACTTTAATTTTGAAATCTGAATTAAGTTGAAATTGTTACAATTATATTATTACAATTTTTGTGTGGAAACAATTTAAACTTCATCAGCCTCTTTACAATGTGATATAATTTAAAAGCATAACAAATATAAAAAAACATCTCTGAATTAAGCATTTTTTAACAGAACATTAATAATTAGAACTATAACGGATATAAAAACAGAGAGGAAAAACATAACATTCTTGGGACCAATTAGCTGATATTTATCCATTATCTAAATGCATGTTGTTGATCTTGTTGTAAACATTTCATCCATGCATGTGTTTCAGATTTTTGGTTGTGAGCAAGCAGTACCTCATCACACTATTAAAATTCACTCCACACATGAGTTCATGACCTGGCTCTGTGGATTTCCTGTTACAGTTGTAAACAATTACATTTTCCTAATGACAATGTTTCTCTCTCTCTCTTTATTTATTTATGTAGTTCAACAAGTATGAACACGTATTCAAATGTGTCCACCATGGACACAAATAATCAGTGGCTATCAACTGCCTCTCCAACACCCCATAAAAACAACCAGTATAATCGCTCTAAAATAGTATATGAATGTGCCTTTGGCTCAGTGGCTGGTTTTTCTATGCTGCTGGGATACATTGGACTTTTGGCAGCAGTAAGCTTCCTGTTAGCCTTCCTTTCAAGGAATCTTCCAGATAATTTTAATGAAGCCAAGTTAATCACTTTCATGCTGGGTACACACTAAAAGATTAGTAAAATCTTATAAGATCTTCAAAATGTGAGAGACCACAAACATGAGAAAACAAAATCCTAGATTTAACCGTTTTGCTCCTATAGTGTGTGGTGTGCCGTGATGTTCACCCCACACATCAGGATTTCTGATCGTAAATATTCAACATGTTGAATACTTACGATTCGCGATCGGGGCGCCTCTGACGTTCTTACGAGCAGATTCAGTCACTCTTAAAGTAGCACTATGTAACTTTTTCTGTGTTCAAAATTTGCAAAATGTATATAATGAGCGAGTACATCATGAATTCATCTTCAAAACCGCGTTTTTTGTCTTATTTCGAATCACTACGGTACACTTAAAATAAGTACTTATATTTGGACTATTGCAGCCTGGTCGGGTCGTCATCGCTGCGGAGTAACACATACCTGCGTGAATCGCCATAGACATAAACTTAGAGAAGTAGCTCCGGTTGGAATGTTCTTCCGCGGGATGTGTGCAGTTCTGTTTATTAACCGCTAGAGCGCCAAAAGTTACATAGTGCTGCTTTAACACACCTCACACCACAGAAAATCTGATAAGATAATCTTTAGAACCAGGAAGGGGAGAAATCGGCCCAAAATCAGCCCGATTATCTTGTGGTGTGTACCCAGCATTAGCATGTTAATCTTCTGTGCTGTGTGAATTGCATTTGTTCCAGCATATGTGAGTCCACCAGGGAAATATGCAGTTGCTGTGGAGATATTTGCCATCCTGGCTTCAAGTTTTGGATTACTGGTGGCCATATTTGCCCCAAAGTGCTACATCATCCTTTTACATCCAGAGAAAAAACACTAAAAAGCCATCATGAGAAGAGAAGCACAAAATAAATAGTTTTACATTATTGTGGTCAACCATCTACAGACACATTGGTGACATTTTGATTAGTATTTTACTTTAATTTTGAAATCTGAATTAAGTTGAAATTGTTACAATTATATTATTAAAATTTTTGTGTGGAAACAATTTAAACTTCATCAGCCTCTTTACAATGTGATATAATTTAAAAGAATAACAAATATTTTTTTTAAAACATCACTGAATTAAGCATTTTTTTAACAGAACATTAATAATTAGATAACGGAGATAAAAACAGAGAGGAAAAACATAACATTCTTGGGACCAATTAGTTGATATTTATCCATGATCTAAATGCATGTTGTTGATCTTATTGTAAACAGTTCATCCATGCATGTGTTTCAGAATTTTTCATCAAAATGTCATAACTTGGTCTTCTGGTGAAATGACAGATTTCTCTTGGTTGACATATTCCGGTTGTTACGTATCCGGTCCATGAACTTCCGTCTGGTAGCCATCAGAGGTCACCCTTTCCATTTTCATTGACTCTCGCACTACACACTGTTGCATTAATGTTCCCTTATCTATATTATTTTAATTTGCCATATTACATTTATTAGAAAGCTATTTACTCAGTTTTCACTCTTGTGTTCAGGCCCTAAAGAGTAAAATACAATACTGATGCTGTATATAACAACACATGAAATAATAACTGATAATCAACGTTTTTGTCTGATTCCGGTAAAACTGATTTACAAAACCTATGCATTGTAGTTAAAATATTTTATTTAAATGATTCAAATTTATGATACATTTTTAATATGCACTCAGTAGTTTTTTTTGTAATACTTACACCTATAGTGTGAATGCAGCACTCAACACTATGCCAAATCACTTTAATCAAAAATATATATTTATTTGCCCTGCATTTTGTGACTATGAGAGATTACACAAAAGTGGTATGTCACAGTTTTATGTTTGTTTTTCTTCTCCATCTCTCCTCTCTGCAAGAAGAGGTCAATAGGTAATTTTTTCATTATAGATGAGGACATACTGCTTGCCAAAACCCTAAGCAATGACTGAACAGCACTGAACTAGTGAATATCATGCCATGGACTGCAAAATCTGTATAGGCAATATGTAAGATAGCGATGCTTGTCACAAGCCGAGTACAGTTACAATTAGTACAAATGTAGGCTATTAAATATTGCTTTTAGATGCTTTTTAAATGTCAAACCCAGCTAGAAACTAAAATAAATAAACATGCAGAAACCTGATTTGAGAGTTCACAATGGGATTGTGTGGTGAACGAGTAATGCTGCACAAATAGGCTAATGTACTTGTTACGTATCCGGTCCATGAACTTCCGTCTGCTAGCCATCAGAGGTCACCCTTTCCATTTTCATTGACTCTCGCACTACACACTGTTGCATATCACCCCGGACTACATATCCCATCATTCATTGCACTGATTTCACACAGCACTGATTGCACACAGCTGTTTCATATCACTCACTCACTATTTAACACTCACTCTGATCCCTTCCCGGTGCCGAGTATTGTTTAGCGCTTATCTTTTGATAGCTACACTACAGAGCCCTCGTTAGTTTACCCTGCCTTAGCCTAGTCTTGCCTTGTCTGTTTTCTCGGTTTCTGATCCTTGCCTGGTTTCCTGGATTTATCCCTTTAGTCTCGCCCTTTTGATTCTGTTCGCCGTTCGTTGACCTTCGCTAGCCCTAGGATTATTCTTGTGTCTTGTCCACCATATTCCTGTTTGCCGTTGTCTGACCCATGCCTGTTTCTGACCACGCCTGTGAATAAAGCTTGCACATGGATCCGCACATCTCATGTCTCGTCAGCCACGTTACAGAATACTCGGCTCCACAAGGATCCAGCAGCTTCTCATATGAACATTGGCCAGGTATGGACACTGCAAGGCTGTTGTTAGCCCTCGAGCAGGGCACACGCTCGCTCGAGGCTTACATTCAAGAGTATCTGGACATTGCCTATCACTCTGATTTTCCGGACTATGTTTTGATAGATTTCTTCTGTAATGGCATTAATCAACCGCTAAAATCTAAACTCATTCACGAGGGTCCGCGTTCATCACTGAGGTGTTTTTTGGACTTTGCTTTGTTGACTGTTGGCTCTCTATTCACTGTGGGATTTATCCCTTTAGTCTCGCCCTTTTGATTCTGTTCGCCGTTCATTGACCTTTGCTAGCCCTAGGATTATTCTTGTGTCTTGTCCACCATATTCCTGTTTGCCGTTGTCTGACCCATGCCTGTTTCTGACCACGCCTGTGAATAAAGCTTGCACATGGATCCGCAGATCTCACGTCTCGTCAGCCACGTTACACCGGTCTTCTCCAATCACTTTTCCCCAATTTACTTAAACCACATCCACTATCAACTACAAGCTTGCATTCAGTTGCCTCTCTATTGTTGAATGTTACACCTGTCAGGATCATGGACTGTCTGTGTCATGTTTTGCCCCTGTTTCTGTTCCCTTATTTCGTCATGTTCCTGTCCTCGTTTTGTTAATTAGTCATCCCATACACCTGTGTTTCCCCAATTATCCCCTGTATTTAAGTCCTAGTCTGTGCAGTCTGTCTCTGTCGGTTCTACTTGTTATGTTCATGTGTTTCCTGCTGTTCCCAGTGTTGGATGTACCCTGTGTTTCTTTGATTAAAGACTGTTTCATTTATTCCTTGTCTCCATCGTTCCTCTATTTTTATTCTTTGACCAGCATTTCTCAACTGGGCATTCAGAGAACAACGGTAAGTCTTGCAGCAACATTTTGAAAAGGGTTTGTTCACAATTCACCGCAAAATGAGCTGAAACTTGTAACTAATTCTCAGAATATGAATAGGCAAACAAGTGATTTACAACAAATTTTAATGGGAAACAAATGAATGACAGAAAGTGATAGTGTTGCCAGATCTTGCTAAAAAAAAAACGCAAACAAACCGCTCCGCCTCGGGCTGTCTGCAGCTTGGCTTAGGCAACCGGATCTCCAAGCTCCACCTTGGACACTCCTTCTCAGCCTGCGGAACCATTCAATGCTAACATACCATCAAGCTAAACTGCTATTAAACATTCACAAAGATAGCGGTACAAACTAATTAACATATCTATTTAATTTACAGACTAGAACTCCATATCTTATCCCAGAGGGAAGCAATTCATAATGTAAATTCTAAAAAAATATTGAAAATATTCTGCACCTAATTTAGCATATCTTAATAGCTGATTCGATTCATTCTGGACAGATTTTGGTTCTGAAAACATCAGATGACAAATGATCTTATTTGTTATATATATATATATATATATAGTAATGTTTATTGTTGGGGTTAGTGATCGCCTCCTTTAAGAATTCCACATTTTCTGTACAAAATATAATTTTGTCCATCATTACTACGTTTGCTTCATCAATATTGTTGCTATGGAAAACTTCCAATCGATGCAAATAAAACATCTTTTAGAGATTCAAACATTTTGATCTCTGGTTTGTGTCTTTTCAGAAGTGCATTGTATGTTGGGATTAATTGCACAGTATTATGATCAACATCTTTAACAAACATGCAGATGCCACCACCTATTTTCCCTTAATTTTCCTTGAGGTGACAGATCTATCTGCTTGAACAAGACAGAAGCATTTTACCTCAATTTGCGAGCTGGGGATCTCAGAATGAAACCAAAATTTTGTGAGGACCGTGAGACTTGCATCTTGATACTCAAATGCTTAGTTCTTCTATTTTAGGTTTGTAACATTGCTCAGGATTATTGCAGTTAACTGCAGTTCTATTTCCACATTGTCGAAGACAGCGTCTGACTGTACGTCTTTGGCCCCTTGTCTTCCTACATCTACTACAGACAGGCTGGCAAGTAGTATGTCGTAGTTTGAAGAATGGAGCAGAAGTAGGTTATCAAACACTTAGCCAGGGGAAAAAAATACAAAAAAAAGCAATTTCAAATTTATACAGCAAAGTGAAGGATGATATTCTCATAGATTTTTATCATAATACACTATAGACATGTGGTCCAGTGCAAAAAGGTGATCCCATACATGACTGTCATAGTACATTACTTCACCTGACTGGACTCTTGATATCTAATATTGAGGCTGCAGTAGGCAAACTTGGCTGACTATTGCTAAATTACTTTGGCCATAATATACATTGTACATAATATATACATGCACATTACATGCCCTAGGGCTGTGTAAGAATCTGGTAAATACTTTCAGTGTGAGCTGGATAAAGGAAAGAGATCTGAAAAAAGCACAGATGGAGACCAACACCCCCCAACACAGTTTAGTTCCTTATCTGTCGGTCACTACGAGTTATGTCGTGACGACATTATGGGGGCTCGCCTGGGAGCCCC